CCCCTTTCTGTGTTACTTCTTTTTCTATCTATGATATTTTTGGTAAGATCCAAATTATGGAGAAGGCACCCAGGTGTTATTCATAGAATTGTACATCTAAAATTTTGATCCTTACCTACAGAAAACAGATTAAGAAAGTCTGGCCACACAGATCTTAAACTGAGTAAGTTAATACATAGAGTGATGGGAGCACAGATGAGGTGCGGAGGGAAGGACAGGCCCCTGCCCTCCAGGGGCTCCCTGGCTGGAACGGAGTAGTAAATAAATAACTACCATGGACTGAGATAAGTGCTATGATAAGGGTAGACACAATGCTCTGGGAACACAGGACAAACAAGAGGCTGGGGTCAAGAGAGGCGACATCTCATCTATTGTGGAGCAGGCATTGGCCTGCTGATTAAGGAGAGGAGGGAGTTTTAGTCAAAATCAGTGTCACCAAGAACCACAGATGTTCAGTATGGCTAGTGCTTGTACTAAAAATTAGTTAATAATCTTTAACACATTTTTCCTTTCTTTGTATTCTCATCTAATATTTATGAACATGCATTAGTTTTTAATTACCCAATTAACACAGGTGCATGCTTGTAAAAGCTCAAAATTGCAAAGTATAGAAGGTAAAAGTTACATAGATGAACACATGCTTTGTTTCTATAGAGTTGTAATTGTATGTGTGGCTTTATATTTCTATTTGTTTCGCTTATTTTGTAAGTATTTCCCTTATCTTTAATCGTCATTAGTTTCAATGACTGCAAAAGTTCCAATTATTTTGTGTCATACTAATTTAGCTATTCCCCTTTAATTGTATGTTTTTTTCATTTTTTTAAAAAATATATTTTATTGATTTTTTACAGAGAGGAAAGGAGAGAGACAGAGAGCTAGAAACATCGATGAGAGAGAAACATCGATCAGCTGCCTCCTGCACATCTCCCACTGGGGATATGCCCGCAACCAAGGTACATGCCCTTGACCGGAATCGAACCTGGGACCTTTTAGTCCGCAGGCCGACGCTCTATCCACTGAGCCAAACTGGTTTCGGCTGTTTTTTTCATTTTTAACTATTGTGTAATGTTGCTATAAATAGAATATGTATAGGTATATGTATATTTCTTCTTTTGAATTATTTTCTTAGAATATATTTAATTGTAGTGATTTCTTTGCAGAGATGAACAGAATTATAAATTTACCATTCTATGGAATTTATTGTTTTGAGGATATGGTCTAAAAATGTTTGCAAATCACTGATTGGTTTACAACTCAGGAAAAATTTTTCTAAGCTGATTTTTAGAGAGGGAGGAAGGGAGAGGGAGAGAGTGAAACATTGATCTACTGCCTCCTGCATGCTCCCTACCAGGGATAGAGACTGAACCCGGACATGTACCCTAACCTGGAATCAAAGCAGCGACCCTTGGGTGAATGGGATGATGCCCAACCAACTGAGCCACACCAGCCAGGGCTCAGCAAAAATGTTAATGTCTCTATAGTGATTAAAAATTATATTAAATGCACCCTGGCCAGGTAGCTCAGCTGGTAGAGCATCATCCCGACACTCCAAGGTTGCAAGTTCCATCCCTGGTCAAGGCACATACAAGAATCAACCAATGAATGCATGGATGGGTGGAACAACAAATTGATGTCTCTCTCTCTCTCTCTCTCTCTCTCTCTCTGTCTGTCTCTCTCTCTCTCATCAATAAATTAAAAAATTATATTAAATGCATTTTTGCCTTTCAGAGTTTATCATTTGGGTGGGCATGCTAGTCAATTTCCCCTTGGAAAGATAATGCAAGTCAGCAAATGAATTCCAAATTTTAAAATTCAGCTGTTAAGGGTGATATGTGAGCATGAACTACATGTTAAGCAATGTGATAAATGCTTTACCTGCGTTGTTTTACTTAATTCTCAAAAGAGCCCTATAAGATAGCTCCATTCTGCAGATGAAGTGAAGTTTTTTCAGAGGAGTTCTGTAACTTGCCCAGTGTTGCACCGCTAGCAAAGGATTGGAGATGAAATGCAGACTCCAGAGCCTGTGCTCTTAACCATTCAGGCTACTTGTGGGGAGGATGGTCTGAGAGTCTTCTCAATATCAATTATCTCTTAACGGAGGGTATCTGTTTTACAAACTGTATCTGAAAAGAGCTTGAGAAAATGAAAAACAAAACTGGATACAACCTCATCAAGATGAGGCTCTTGTCTGGAGAAATTTCCTTTCAACATGGTTACTTATAATCAAATGCCTTTTAATAAGTAATTGTGCTGAGTGAGGTGCCTTCCAGCCAAGGGAACAGAATCTGTGTCCTCCAGAGACGAAGCCATGTGACTCTGCAGAGGACGTGGATGTTTGAACAGTGACCCAGGAACACATGCCTTAAAAGGCAAGATAAAATATTTACCCTGTGTCAAAGCACCGAACTTTTCTAGTCCACCAGAGTGAGCTTGGCAGGGAAGAGAAGTCTTCCTGGAGTAAATGGGAGACCACAGGGAAGAATGGGCAGGTGATGGATGTTGCTTTGGGTTTAACTTGAGAGACCAAAGATAAATGGATCTGACACGTGGGACTGATGCCAACCCAAGTCTAATTTGGCCTCCTTCCCAGGGCTGTGTCTAACTCACCAATCAGAGGGCAGCCTCTTGCTCCACCCAATGTCAGTCATTTAATATAGACATATCTTCTACCCAGCAGGCCTGCCCACTGGCCCTGGGTGTTCCACTGTCCTGAGACTCAGAGTGGCTATGTTGCAAGCTCCTCCTTTGATGGGCATAAAAGATGGATCCTCTTATCTCCTGGCAAAAGTCCTTTGTTCAGACCTCCCCATGTCCTTCCCATGTCCCCATGTCAAGGAGGCATGAAGCCTGCCTTGTGATGGTAGAGCTCTTTCCTAGCAGCATTCTAGAGGAAAATTCCATCAGTGCCTTTTAGATACCAATCTGTCCTCTTGGCTTTACCCAGTCTCCTTAATATACAGTAATCAATCTATAATATTCCAACAGTAAGTTCCACTGCCAACAACTCCGTTCTCTGGCTTATGTCTTGCTGCAGTGTGTGTAATCATGGGCTCTATTCTTAGGCTCAGAGAGGTGTACAAAAGTCACTTCCCTCGCAACTTACTATATTTATCCAACATTTATATAATCACTAACCATGTATCAGACACGTTTTCCTATTATATGTTTTCCTATTATATTAACTCATTTAATCTTCGTAACAATCCCATGAGGTGTTATTTCCATTTGGCAGCTGAGGCTACAGAGAAGTTAAGCAATTTGCCTGATGATATACAGCTAGTAATTGGCAAAGCTGAGGTTCATACCAACGCAGGCAGACTCCAGAGTCCTGACTCTTAACCACGGAGCTATGCTGTCTTCCAGGAGAACTTCCTAGTGACCCCTGATGGACGTCTGTTATCATGAGAAAGGCATAAAGCTCAAGGCAAGACAGGAGGTTACAGCTTCAGAAATACAGCTGATCAGGAGATAGAGAGGGGCTGTAAAAAGAAACTTGCATTGCCTGGGAGGTACACACTGGCATGTTGGACACCCCCTCCCACTTTAGTGATAGCTGAGTTCAGTAGAGTAAATACTGTCAGTCTGGCACTGTACCAAATGCTTGGCATGCATTTTATTTATTCTTCCCAACCACAGGTAAGTATTCTTATCATTATTGCCATGTTACAGAAGAAGGGACAGGCTTGGAGAAGTAAAAGACCTTACTCAGGATCACATAACTAGTAGGTGATGGACTCTGGATTCAAACCCAATTTGTCAGTAGCTCTTAACTGCTGCACCAGACCACACGGGTTCTCCTAGAACAGTGGTTCTCAACCTTGGCTGCACATTAGAATCACCTGGGAATCTTTTTAAAATCCTGATTTCTGGGCCTCATCCTCCAGAAATTCTGTTTCTTTGTTATGGGGTGGAGCCACAACATTAGTAACAAAGAAACAGAATTTCCGGAGGTGGGTGGCCCAGAAATCAGGATTTTAAAAAGACTCCCAGGTGATTCTAATGTGCAGCCAAGGTTGAGAACCACTGTCCTAGAAAGAAGGGGGATTGGGATTGTATACATTTTATTTCCTTTAAAAATGTATTATGTAATATTTCAGATAGAAAAAAGGCACATTATGCGCGGATAGGCTTTATTCATTCTCCCCCCCCCCCTTCCCTGTGCATGTCCCGATGAGCACTGTTCTAACATTAGGGATGTAGCAACAAATTACTTCAGATGTAAGGGGGGTCAGGAGGAAATTAAGGCAGTGTTAGAAAAATCAGAACGAGTTTTTTTGTTTGTTTGTTTTTTATCCAGTGCCACCTACATGTGCAGCACTACACTGGGCAAGCTCAACAAAGAGAAGTATCAGAAGTCCCTACCTAAAGTAAACCATAGGAAGTCACTTAGTTTGTCTCAGGAACTAAGTTTGGCTTAGACCAGGGGAAAGTCACTTAGTTTGGCTACCAAAAAAATGAATCTGTTTACACAGAGAGAGTAAAAGCATCTTATTTAGAATCGTATTTGATAATGCAAAAGCTGCCAGGGTTTGGGAAGTGGAAAGGGCTCGATCCGGGAGCCATCATCCTTTATTCAATCAAGCATTACCTGAGGCCTATCTCCCATAGAGTGGGGATACAGCCGAAATTTGGCAAACAGGTCGCTGCCTCCTGGAGTTTATAGTCTGGTGAGAATATTCCCGCCTTGAGTCCCTGCCAACCTCCAGCTATGTTACTTTGGATAAGGAACTTCTCCGGCCCCTATTTTGTAAATTCATTGGGGTCAGACTAGCGGATCTGCCACTCAAATTCCCAGCTCAAAACGTGATGCAAGCATCTGTGCCCAGTAGAGCGTGGGGGAGGCTCCCCAGCTCCCCGGCTCTGCGCCGCCGCGGGGAGGCGGGAACGCGGCTAAAGTTGGAGCGGCGTTCGCGTTCGCGTTCTGAAAGCACTTGTCCCTCGCGGCGCCCCGTCGACCCCGCCGCCGCCGCTGCCGCCGCCGCTCGCGGAGCCGGAGGAGGCGGAGCTGGCTGTGTCCCGGCTCTGGAGCGGGTTAGCAGCGGAGAAGGCGGCGCGGCAGGCCCGGGTGGCCCAGGCTCGGGCGGGGCAGCGGGGGAGGCTGGCAGGCAGCGCGGGGAGAGCGGTGCCTTGGGGTGGGCGCTCCCGGCGAGAGGAGTCCGCTCCATGCATGCGGGCCGAGCCCGGCCCCTACGAGCCGCCGACATGAAGAAAGACGTGCGGATCCTGCTGGTGGGAGAACGTGAGTCCGCGCACCCGGGCTGGCGGCGGCACCGCAGCCCCTGCTGCCCCGGGCCTTCTCGCCCCTCGCCGCCCCGCGCTCCTCCCCGCGCGCCCCCAATGCCCCGTGCACCTTCACGCTTCCCTTTGGGCTGTCTGCCGGAGGCTCTCCGCCCCCTCCCTCCCCTGGGCCCTCCTGAGACCCCCTTCCCCTGCCCCCCATTCGCCCTCCCAAGCCGTGTCCCCATTAGTCGCTGGCCGCCCGGCCTCATCCCTCCCAAGGTCCTCTCCGCCTTTTCCTCTGCGAATTCTCTCCTCCTGGGCCTCGGCGGTTCCAGGCCGCCTCCCTTCGGACCCTCTCGCCTTCCGCGGAGATTCCCTTGTCACCGCTAGGCAGGTGCTGGGACGGGCAGCCCGACCAATGGGGATGGCGGGAGCGGCTCCCGGGAAAGCTAGGGGGAGGGGTGCAGAACTATTCGACTGGTGGACAAGGTCAGGTTTCTGCCTTTTTCCCCCCACAAACGCCGTCTCTCTCTCAGCATAGACATGAAGATATGGAGCGTTTTTAGGGATTCTTTGTACTTTGCATCGGCATGACTCTGGGTACACTTGCGCATTCCTCAAAAATGTACTCTCCAAGTTATACGAGGGCTCAATGAATGAATAATTCTCTAGGGACGGTCCTTTAGTCGAGAGGATTATTGTTACCCGAAAACCTGCTTTCCCCGGTCTTTTTAAGCATTCTTTATTCCGTAGCTACCGGGTAATTATAAGTAACGACAGGCACGCAGGAGACCCAGCGCGCACACATACACATGAGACCCTGCACCTTTTGAAGACCTAATGGAGGAGAAGTGCCTTCTGTTCCCGGCCTGGGGACAGGACAGCAGAGACTTCTGATAACACTGTGCAAGTCCCATGTCTCCGTTGGTAGGACTGAAAGAAGAGAGTGGGCTGGCGGGGCTGGGCTGCTGGTTTTCAAGCACATACACTGGTTAAAGCGTTGCCGTTGCTGTTTTGAAGCGTTCTGTTCTGAGCCCCACTCCCTTCTAGAGAAGCCCCTCCAGGTCCCTGCCACATTCTCCCAAGGAAGGAAGGACCCTCTTCTGTAGTGTGTTTTGCTGTTCGTTGAAATCTGCGTTCACCTGCTGTTTGGAGAAATCTCCCTTTAGAATCAGAAGTTGGAAGTAAACATAGCCAGTTTACTTTTTGATTTGCAGTTGTGAATTTTAATCTTTAAAATAACTATGTCTTTTTTTTTTCTTTTGAGAGAGAGAAACATCTCTCGAGGGCCCCGACTGGGGATGGAAGTGGTAACTGAGGTGTATGTCCTGACCAAATCCATCCCATTGGTGAATGGGATGACGCTCAAACCAACTGAGCCACACTGGCCAGGGCTATAACCATATCTTAATCTGTATTTTGCATGGACTTCCTTGACAAAGTTCAGGAAGGTGTTATTTAACATGATTCATGCTGATGTATTTGGAAAAGCAAGGTAGGAAAAGGGCATAGATGACCTGCTTAAAAACTGATCCTGAACTGTATCATCAAATGGTTTTATAGTATATTCGTTTTTTTCTTTTCTATAATATATTCATTTTTAACACTAATTTTTAAAAAGCAAAAATCCCAAGTTTGATTAGTTTTAAACATAGGAAACAGTTACATATAATCAATCTGTAAAACACCTAATAGGAATACTATACATATATAAAATATATTGTCAGCCTTAAGACATTTAAGTGAAAAAAAGAAAAGAAAAAAGGAAAAACAATACAAAACAAAATTTAAAAAGACATTTAAGTTAAAATGTTAACAGTATTATTTATTTAGAAATACAGAAAATAAACATTTGTTAGAAAAATTACAAGCTACGTTCTGCAGAAATGAAAGCAAATAAGAGAGTTGACAAAAGTATACGTGCAAGAGTTTTTTGATCAGAGGGAGAAACCTGACACAAGAAAGCCTTAGGTTTTGAGGAAGACATTTTTCTTAAAAAATGTGGTAGCAAAAACTTCAGGCCAGCTACCATACCATATATATACTTTCTTTTCACATTTAAAAATATTAGAAAGAGGTATACTTATTTGAAACATTTAATTAGTTATTTTAAAGGGTAGTATTTTGGGGGGGGGGGATGTTTGAAGCATTACTTTTTGAGATTTAATGTAAATATTTCATAGCTGTTAGCCTAGCTGTAGCACTTTAGATACTAGGTACATATAAGTGTGACCAAGACTATTTTAAATAGTACTGCTCTGAAATGTGGGTTTATCAGGAAAACCACTCTTTCAGGAAAAAGTGGTAGTAATTCAGATGCAGTTTTAAGATGTTAACTAAGGGGAATGGGAAAAAGCAAAGGAAGAGGGGCATCATATCTGATATTGTAAAGCCTATTTTTTTTTCTACCACTTCAGCGCATTTTATTGCTATTAGTGTGTGTCCCTGCACCACACAGCAGCAGGTTCATTCATTGAAGCTCCTAAATAGTTGTGAATGGTTTCAACACCTTTACTGTCCTCGGAAGGTGAAGTGGACCTTTTCTTGGCCCATCTGGATTCTGACCCCTCCAGGCTTTATTGGTAACTAATTGCTTAATATTAATTTGGTGATTAGATCAGAGAAGTTAGGCTGAACATAAATTTTAAGGTGTTTATTTACAGAGAAAGCCAAAGTGTTTCAAATATCATCTATCTTAATTATTGAACATATTAAATACCATTCAGGCCAAAGGAAAAGTTAATTACCATCTTTAAACAAAACAAAATGTTAAAAATCATTAAAAATGCGACCACACAAAACTTAGTTCTTCAGGTTATAGCTTTTCATAGTCAGATTTGTTGGCCAAAATTTGTATTTAACTAGATTTGCATGCTAAACAAATGTCCTTGTTACAATAAAATTAGCATGAGCCTTATTACCCTTTATCTGAATTATGTAGCTACATTAAAAGTGTACAAGGTAGTTTTAGTTTACTAAGGCCTTGCTTATAAATTAAATTGGGATGTAGTTGTTTTCTACTGATCAGATTATTAAGAGAGTAAAATTGTTATCCTCTTTTTAAATGAATCCAGTAGCTCTTGCCGGATTTGTCTGACTGATTAGTTTATCAGCGGAACCTTTGACAAACTAGTTCAAGCTTGGCCTAGGCCAGTGATGGCGAACCTATGACACGCGTGTCAGAGGTGACATGCGAACTCATTTTTTTGGTTGATTTTTCTTTGTTAAATGGCATTTAAATATATAAAAATAAATATCAAAAATATAAATCTTTGTTTTACTATGGTTGCAAATATCAAAAAATTTCTATATGTGACACGGCACCAGAGTTAAGTTAGGGTTTTTCAAAATGCTGACACGCCGAGCTCAAAAGGTTCGCCATCACTGGCCTAGGCTTTTGTAATACTGTATCTCCTTAACTGGTCTCCCTGCTTCTAATTTCGTTCATTCTCCATGTAGCAGATAGCCTCATCATTAAAAAATATCTCAGATCCTGTTACCCATTTTTAAAATTCCCAGATGATGTCTGCTTTCACTTAGAATAAAGTCCAAACTTTTTCATGGAGGCTTTGAAAGTCCTTCACAATCTGGCCCTTGCTTTACTCTTGTTTCTTTTTTTTTTTTTTTCTTGTTTATTTCTTGTTTCCTTGGGCTAGAAAGTAAGCTTCATGAGGGCAGGGTATTTGCCTTGTTTATTTAGATATTCCCAGTGCCTCGAATAGACTTGGCACAAAGTAGGCACTCAGATAGTTGTTGAAAGAATGAATGAGTTCAGGTTAGTTCCTTTCCTTGTTTTCCAAACCATTCCTCTAGATATAAAAATTTGATCATTCTCCTTTTTTAAATCCAGTCTGCTGTGGTTATTGGTAGGATTTGAAGAGGCAGCATTCATCCAGTCTCTTGTCCCATGTCCTTAGCTCGGTTTTGTTTGGGAGATTCCTGTGTTCTGGCAATAAAGTAGACCAGTGACTTACACTGACAATGCATGTCTGTTCCATGTCTTGGCTGCCAGGAATTATTGTTTTTGAAATGCCAGAGGTTCATCTTAGAGATTTGAAGGGGTTGGGGAATGATTCTTTAGGTATAGGCTAGGGATAAGAGTTAAAGAGACTTCAGGAATTAAGCCAATAGTTATTTTAGAAAAACAAAAAACTTTCTGTGGTCCTTTTAAAGCCATTCTGGTCTTTGTTAGAATGATATTTGAAGATTAAACTGCTCAGTTTCAAATAGATTATGTTTGTTGAAGCATCCTTTCTCCACTGTCTCTTGTTCTTCTGGCACCATTGGGCCCTGGTGTTGATCGGGTATGAAGGAGAGGGATAGATCACAGCATTGGTCCTTCTCAGGCCCGCATCATCTGCATATGGTCAATAATATTTTCCTCTGGAATGATGCTCATCTATTTTCCCAAATGCTCAAGTTTTCCACTTCAAGATATACTTTCATAGTTACCCTACTCCTCCCTGTGTATTCTAATTACAATAACTTAGGAAGAGCCAACACAGCTTCTTAATAAAGACACAAATAAAAAATGAGGAGTAGGTCCCTTTGAAGCATACAGTGTTTGTTATCAAGAAAAAATAGCCAATATGCTGGTAGGGCGGTAATTGGACCCAGAAAATGTTATTTCCGCTTCATGAATATTAGGAATTTGCCGTCATTTAGAACTGGATGTTCAAAAGATGTGATGAAAGGACAGAGAAATTTTTAGCCTGGATAAATCTAGATAATTAGTTCTATAGTGATGAATGATGTTCCCATGGATGACCTACTTACTAGTAGATCATCTAGAAGCATGGAGTCTCAGACAGACTGTGGCATGTTGTGTTGAAGTGAATCAGAAGGCCTTCTGTCCTTGGGCATACTTGTGGCCATGCTTTCTGTTTTTATAGAATACTTCAATACTTCTCAGGCAAAATAAAGAGAGATCATCAGATGGCTGGCTAACAAAGGATAATATTTTTGTCCTTCATATTAACATTTATATTAAATACTGTATACTTATCTTTTCATATATAA